GGAAAGAAATCTTTTTTTTGTGTGTGTGTTAAAGGAAAAAAGGGGGAGAAAATGTGCACGAGCAATGTGCTGAGCCAAAACAAAAAGGCAACAAACTCAGCCCAGAAACTTTGAGCAGCGCCGAGGACACAAAGCGTCAAACAGATTAATGGAACTGAAACGCTGTATTGTAAAAAATGAGAGCTTAACCATAATCTTTTGGTTTGACTTGATGAAGTGAGGTTACACATAACTTTTTTTTTTTAAACTTAAGCAAAATGCTGCCCCATCATTAGTATCCGCAAGAGAATGGAGAGCCTAATCGCACCATAATCTCACTTTTCTAGGTCACTCAAAAGAAACAAAACGGGTAATAACATTACACATCGCACCTGATCCATGGCCATCCATTAGTAACAAGCTTTGGATTCAGATTAAAGACGTATCAAACGTGAAAAGTTTGGGGAAGGGGAGCAGGTTATGTGTATGTATGGCTCTGGCCTTAATGAGGTTGTTTCTGGGGGTTTCTTTGTGTTCGCCGCTCTTTAGTCAAGAGGAGGGATGGCCTGGTGATCAGTCAGTCCTGAAAGCGCACACAGGGCCGATTTGTCACCGGTGGCCGGCACTGGCAGCACGCAGCTCCTACGCTTGCATGATTTGTGAAACCGGAGGCTGTATTTAGTAGGCCCATTTAAAAGCATATTGGAGAACTGTTTCGATTGTTTGTGTGCGAGTGTGTGCGCACGTAAAGCTAGGCACTTGGTCAAAGCCCAACATATTTGCTTGCACTTGGAAGAAGGGGGTTTTCAGCTGGGTGGGGGGTGAAACATGAGCCTCTCCTCATTAAAGGAGAAACAGGGTTTAAAGCAGAGCTTGTTTGCTCCTGCTGTAATATATGTTTGCGAACATCAGCGGGAGCAAATAAACACATTTGCTCCGCTCGGCTTCGGAAGAACAAAATCTGCCTGCGACTGAACACAGAATTATACAAATTATATATATATATATATATATATATATATATATATATATATATATATATATATATATATATATATATATACACACACACACACACACACACACACACACACACACACACACACACACCTTTTCTATGGCAATCTATACGCACAGAAGCTTGATGGCATAAAGCTGAAAAATCCCACAATTCACTTTAGTCCCTGACTGCATGTTAAACAGCCTAACACATTTATTTGAACATGGCGAGGCTGTGAGGAGGTCCGCCGCGGGAATGAAAGGAGCTGAGCGCAACATATGGTCAACATGTAGGGGGTACAAGGTACTCTGATAACAGACACACTCCAGAACGACTGGGTTTTTACAGCCTTGCAGTATTCCACAGACCCAGCTGCTGAATGAACGGGTGAGACAGACCAATTTTACTATTGAGGCCTTGAAGGCCAAAGAAGAGCACATTAAACAGAAACTAACAATGTGTCTAGATCAGACCACACTTCAGCAAGTGATGGACTGTACAGATCAGGCACGCTTAGCACAGCATGTCAAGTCCAAGAATCGGCAACAAAACAAGTTTAACTTACTAATAACTCATCAACACCATCACTATTCCAATAACAACACATTCAGTGTAGGACAACACTCCAGTAGTCAATTACATGCCATGTAGACAGAAAAGTGGGTGAAGAATTTATCTGACAGACAGCTCACCCAGCCAGAGACAGAGATTCTTGCCAGGGGACTGAACTTTGCAGTTGCACCAAGTAGAATTCCTCTGGTGGAGATGATCACAGCTACTGAGTCAGCCATCCGCAACAACAAAATGAAAGAGGCTGAAGCAGAACAGCTCAGAATCAAAGTTTCAGCCTGCCTCAGCAATGCCAAACCACCACCTTCCAACATCAGTAGAGAGGAGAGGGACGCACTCACCACTCTTAGCAAGAACAAAAACATCATCATTCTCCCAGCAGACAAAGGAAGGTGCACAGTGATTTTGAACCAGAAAGACTATCATGAGAAAGTTATGACACTCGTAACCGCAGAATCCTAAGACGTTCATAACTTAAACACTTATGAACCTCTGAAAAGAGATCCAGGAAGTGGTTACAAGAAGAAATTGATAGCTTGCCTGAAAATTTTGGAGCAGGACAAGGCTATTGACCGTTTTCTGTACCACAGACTGTACCCAGGGGAGGCCACACCTAGTCTGTATGGTTTACCTAAAATCCACAAACAAGGTGTACCTTTAAGACCAATTGTTAGTATGATTAACTCTGTCACTTACAATGTTTCCAAATATCTGGCGTCTGTACTCATCCCTTTAGTTGGCAGCTCAGAACACCACATACAGAACACCATGGACTTTGTGGACAAGGTGAGGGATGTCATCATGGAGACTGATGAAACAATGGTCTCTTTTGATGTCACATCACTCTTTATGTGCATTCCTGTTGATGATGCAGTAGAGGTGGTCAGTTTAAAATTAAAATCAGACACCACTCTGAGCAGCAGGACCACACTTTCTACAGAACAACTGTGTCAACTCTTGAAACTGTGCCTGCAGTCAACCTACTTCACATATGGGGAGCAATATTATAGGCAGAAACATGGGTGTGCTATGGGGTCTCCAGTTTCTCCTATTGTTGCCAACCTGTACATGGAGGAGGTAGAAAAGAGAGCCTTGACGTCCTTTTCAGGGACACCACCAAGTCATTGGTTCAGGTATGTTGACGACACCTGGGTTAAAATCAAATCTCAGGAAGTCCAACATTTTACTGACCACATCAACTCTGTGTATAAATACATCAAGTTCACACGAGAAGATGTAAAAAATGGCAGGTTGGCTTTCTTGGACTGTGAGGTCTCAGTCTCTGATAGAGGACATTTGCAAAC